CATCTATTGTTTGACCTTCCGGCGACAACTTTTGTCTTATTTCTACAGGACTGGCCAGCTTTAACTGCAAAACAGCGAACTTTTTCTGTTACTTTACCCCGGGGGATTTTAGGTTCTTTGTTCTCCCAGGGCGAAGAAGGGAAAGATTTATGTGAATTTTATGTGTACCTTTAGGTCGCGACAGACAATATTAACAACTGATTGCTAAACCAGAAGCATAATAAATGTGTGCTAACAAAATATCATGCCGTACAGTAGAAGCATGGTAATAAAATGAACCTTAAGGCTCATGCCATTAAAGTTGGGGCTAAGCATAGGCAGAATAAACAGGCAGAAGTTCTGAAAGGTCGAAGAATTCAATAAATAGAAACTCTTCTAATAGTACTGACTAAAACAATTGACTAGAAGGACAGCTATCGCAGTTAATTGTGGAGCATAATTAAGACCAGTTATATGACTTTACATATAAATAACCGCGTTAAAATTGGAATAATAAATATTTTAGGGAACAGTGGGTTATAAACGTGAATTTAAAAATTCTAACTAAGCTCACAGTCACGAACACCCTTTTATAAGTATGCCGCCAGCGTCAATGTCACGAATTCATTCAGGAGTATCCTACAGCTCTGCAAGACGTGACCAGTTTAGTGGTTTCTATATGCATGACGCCAGGTTAAATGTTGTTTAATGAACTGAAATATTCGCCGTAAAGGAAAATAAGTGGTCTCACGCATTTTCGTGTGTCTACCACATACCCTCCTTGCCAATACTGAGAGTAAACAAATATCCTCTCTCTTTAACTCTCTCTTTCGGTACTGAAATTTACAATAAACGTTTAATGTTTAAACTCGAGCTTAGGAAAATTCCAGTTTGCCTTTTTCGCGTTTATAATGTCATAATTTATTGCTTTTACTCTGTGGTTTTACTTTTATTTTCGTTGAGTTGAGGGATTTTCTTGCAATAATACCCGTCTTCTGCTTCTTTTTTCACCCATCTTCCCCTCTCTCACAACCCCCATACTTTTAGTTTTTCAATTTCTCCGGGTTTCACTTCACCAAAATTGCTGTGACATGATATCTCCTCATCTGTGTTTTATCGAAATAGAAAAATGACAGCATATGTAACGAAAGAGACACACCTCCCGCCCCTCTTGTCGCAGGTATAATGGTTAGGGGTTTGAGAGTGCCACCATTTTTTACTTGGAAGCTATTTATATTCAGGTTAGAAGTCAGGGCTCAATGTCGTCTTCAGATGACAGATTGCTCGGTTAGGTGGAGGACAGTCAGGTTAAGACGGGAAAGCCGTGAAATGCTTCTAAACAGGATGACTAGTAGGTCAATTTTCATCATCAGAAGTTCACAGGCTGCGGGAATACCCGTTAATTGCCAATAGAGGAGAATATCCGAGTTCCAGAAAGTAGTTCAGAAGAAGAAGAAGCGATCACTGGAACAAGAGTTTTATTATCCTGAC